GCGGTTGCCTAGCAGTGACAAGTGTTTTGTAAAACTAAGCACGATCAAAGGGACAGTGATAGGAAGCATTAGCAATGGCTATTGTGGAGGTGCATCAATGTCCAGTGGATCGGCGCGGGCAGCATTCATTTGCATAAGCGCAGACCGGCCGCTCCACGCTGGCACCATGCAGTACGCGTTCTCATCCGATGCTTGCAGTCCATGACAGTGCCTTTGTGCAAATCATACACCTTGTTTTAGCAGCTACCTCTGCTCCGTACGGTCATCCAGTGTTCGAAAAATTTTGGCGGCACCCAGTTTTGGATCTCCTGACCACCACAAACCTCTCCACTTCCCATCTTTTCATGCATTTTTTGGCTGAATTTAAGCCCACCGAGTTATTTATTGAAGAACCATAATTTATCGCTTCCTAGCACTATTCACGTACCCCCAACAAAATTTCAGTGAACTGCCTTCACTCTTCGAGACGATGAATCCAGTGCTTTTATTCTGAGATGCTGCTGCATCTCTTTCATTGCGTTTGCACCGCGTGCTCTCTGTTCATCTCCACGTTCCCATCCACGACAAACCGTGTCTCAAATTCACAGGAAATTTGCATCGAAGAGTCTGAATGTGCAGTTTGGCAGAAAGTTTGCATCACGCATGCACATCATTGTTGCGCCAGTATAACTTGCATGCCCCTTGAGGTCTTTCACGGACCCACAGATTTTTTTTACGCTTTTTCGTCCTTGTTTTCCAGTCCAGCCTGGTAGCACGTCTACTGTGTATCTATTTTTCAAAGCAAAATATGCTTTTTTCTTCTCTATCTTCCACCTTCCTTTTTGTAACAACTTCGTCTTTGCCAGCTTTTCACGAGTATTCCGCAGTATTCTGGCGAATGAAACACTTTGTTCTCCTGGTCACATTGTGGACATTTCGTGCAAGGTAGTCGAAAAGACGACCCGTGTGGATGTTCAAAGGGTAGTGAATTTGGCAAAATGGCGAACTAAAAACCATCCAGGAACAAAGGAAAATTAAAATGCGGTTTTGGAACCCTCCAAAGCGCCGCAAGAGTTGCTGAGGCACCATGACAGCTAATTTCCTTGAAACCAACAGCTTTTTTTGAAAACGAAACGATCAGCTAACGATT